ATAGATAGATAGATGGATGGATGGATACATATATTGATAGATAGATGGATGGATGATAGATAGATAGATAGATAGACAGACGGATGGATAGATAGATAGATGGATAGACAGACAGATAGTTGGACGAATGGATACATATATAGATAGATGGATGGATAGATAGATGGATAGACAGACAGATGGATAGATAGATAGATAGACAGACAGATGGATAGATAGATAGATAGATAGATAGATAGATAGATAGATAGATAGATAGATAGATAGATAGATAGATAGATAGATAGATAGATAGATAGATAGATAGATAGATAGATAGATATTTCTGTGTGCTAACTGAGAGCACGCAGTATTTGAATCCCTTTGTTGAATTTTGTCCTGAATTCTTTAAATAAGGACACAGAGAGACTGAAACTGTTCCTATCCTTGCAGTTATTCCTCAATGATAATAAATCCCTGATGGAAGGAACAAAAAGCTGAAATATGCTGAACCATTGTCATAGGAAACCAAAGGAGAACACATTTAGAAATATCTTGCACCGCTACAAACGAATGGCCTGATGATTGCAGTAGCATTACACAGTAAATCTAACTTTAAACAGTAATAGATGATGTTTGAATATCTTTCTAAGTCACCACAGGTTAATAGGGGGACACTTTTAACTAAGCAATATCATTATACTTCCACGGTTAATTCATCACAGTACATTAACACATCCAAATGTGTTTGTTTAAATGTGCAAATGAGGCATTATGTAATTAAAACAAATCAAATTTGCATACATTTCCAGAACAGAAATCTAAACTTTGGATAAAGCCAGATTCAAAATTTCTGTTTCTTCATCTATCAGTACTTGCCGTACTGTTCCCATGTATACACAAACAAATGCCTTGTATACTTGTACTCTTTAAGACTTTATAAAGTATTCATACAGATGATAATGCATTATGTGTGTTCGCCCTTCATTTGTCGAAGAAAGGCACCAGTGCAGTGCAGTTTAATTTTTACACACTGTGTCAAATACCCACAGCAGCCTGTGTCCTCTCTGAAATATTAATGAATCCTGTCGATATGGGGAGAGAGAGAGAGAGAGAGGGGGGGGGGGGGGATGCCAGTGTAAAATGTTGACCATGTTGACATTTCATCTTCACTAATTAGAACCGTTTGAGGTGTTTTTAAACCACATTTTTATCCACTTGCACTGAAATTCATTCATGCTTTGCAACAAATTCAATTGATATCCATTTATCCCAAGCAGAAAACATCCATTTATTCTCGCATTGTCATAATGACACAAACCAGAACAGTATCACGTTGTCAGCGTGTTTCTGGAATTAAACGCGAGGGCATCCTAAAGAGGCGCATGTAAATCATCCTCCGCTTTCCTTGTAATCCTTCCTGTGTTGTGTTCGTCTCACTGGCTGAGACTGTGGAAAATATCAGTGGTCTAAGCCACGGTGCAATATTTGGAAATCTGTCATGCCTTTTCATTAATACGTGAGATGCATGTCTATATCTGAGTGGGCAAATGCACATGCCCCTAAAAAGCCGATGCAAACAAAAGTGAGAGACTGCTTTAGTGTGTAGTTAGTTGTCTGGATAATGGCTCTCTCTTGAGGGTTTCCGTGACTCTGTTTTCTGTGTGTAATGGAGAGAGGGAGCTTAAGCTCGCCTGAATGCGTCACACAACATCTCCACTCGAGCACTTTCACTTCTTTCCCCGGACTGAAGTTCACTGTTCCCTCCTGCTGGTGAAGAGGTAAAATCCTGCTGGGGAGAGAGGTAAAGTCCGGCGGTTGGAGAGAGTTAAATTCCTGCGGGTGGAGAGAGGTAAAGTCCTGTAAGTGGAGAGAGGTAAAGTCCTGCTGGGGAGAGAGGTAAAGTCCTGTGGTTGGAGAGAGGTAAAGTCCAGCGGTTGGAAAAAGTTAAAGTCCTGCGGGTGGAGAGAGGTAAAGTCCTGCGGGTGGAGAGGGATAAAGTCCTGCAGGTGGAGAGAGGTAAAGTCCTGCGGGTGGAGAGAGGTAAAGTCCTGCGGGTGGAGAGGGGTAAAGTCCTGCGGGTGGAGAGAGGTAAAGTCCTGCGGGTGGAGAGAGGTAAAGTCTTGCTGGGGAGAGAGGTAAAGTCCTGCGGGTGGAGAAAGGTAAATTCCTGTTGGGGAGAGAGGTAAAGTCCTGTAAGTGGAGAGGGGTAAAGTCCTGCGGGTGGAGAGAGGTAAAGTCCTATGGGTGGAGAGAGGTAAAGTCTTGCTGGGGAGAGAGGTAAAGTCCTACGGGTGGAGAGAGGTAAAGTCCTGTTGGGGAGAGAGGTAAAGTCCTGCGGGTGGAGAGGGGTAAAGTCCTGCGGGTGGAGAGAGGTAAAGTCCTGCGGGTGGAGAGAGGTAAAGTCTTGCTGGGGAGAGAGGTAAAGTCCTACGGGTGGAGAAAGGTAAAGTCCTGTTGGGGAGAGAGGTAAAGTCCTGTAAGTGGAGAGGGGTAAAGTCCTGCGGGTGGAGAGAGGTAAAGTCCTATGGGTGGAGAGAGGTAAAGTCTTGCTGGGGAGAGAGGTAAAGTCCTACGGGTGGAGAGAGGTAAAGTCCTGTTGGGGAGAGAGGTAAAGTCCTGTAGGTGGAGAGGGGTAAAGTCCTGTGGGTGGAGAGACGTAAAGTCCTGCGGGTGGAGAGAGGTAAAGTCCTATGGGTGGAGAGAGGTAAAGTCTTGCTGGGGAGAGAGGTAAAGTCCTACGGGTGGAAAAAGGTAAAGTCCTGTTGGGGAGAGAGGTAAAGTCCTGTTGGTGGAGAGAGGTAAAGTCCTGTTGGTGGAGAGAGGTAAAGTCCGATGGGTGGAGAGGTAAAGTCCTGCTGGGGAGAGAGGTAAAGTCCTGCTGGGGAGAGAGGTAAAGTCCTGCTGGGGAGAGAGGTAAAGTCCTGCGGGTGGAGAGAGGTAAAGTCCTGCTGGGGAGAGAGGTAAAGTCCTACGGGTGGAGAGATGTAAAGTCCTGCTGGGGAGAGAGGTAAAGTCCTGCGGGTGGAGAGATGTAAAGTCCTGCGGGTGGAGAGAGGTAAAGTCCTGCGGGTGGAGAGAGGTAAAGTCCTGCTAGTGGAGAGAGTTAAAGTCCTGCGGGTGGAGAGATGTAAAGTCCTGCGGGTGGAGAGAGGTAAAGTCCTGCTAGTGGAGAGAGTTAAAGTCCTGCGGGTGGAGAGAGCTAAAGTCATGCAGGTGGAGAGAGGTAAAGTCCTGCTGGGGAGAGAGGTAAAGTCTGCGGGTGGAGAGAGGTAAAGTCCTGCTCGGGAGAGAGGTAAAGTCTGCGGGTGGAGAGAGGTAAAGTCCTGCTCGGGAGAGTTGTTATAGTCAGAGATCCCTTTGATGATAAACCACAGGCCTGAACCTCTTGATATTCACGATGACTTTGCGAGCGGTGGAAAATAATTGCATTGATGTGCTTTTACATAAAAGTTATTAAAATGGGATGGTATGCACAAGCAATAAAGAACGAGGCACAAATCAGATATTAGCATTTGTGTGAAAGCAATGGCATATAATAATAATTCATATTCTCACAGCCTTTTTTTATCACCTCGCTGTAACCCCATATGAATTTCAGGGGGGCAGAGATGGGTGTCAAATATCCTGACTTTAGCACAGCGAGCGAGGGCTATTAAAAGCAGCCAGCTCCGACGCCCCTGTCCTCCAACTCACTCTCTCCTATTCGTGTTCTTCCTCATTGGTCTTTGTGTGAAATTATAGCTGCCCCTCCTCTTCATCTCTCTCTCTCTCTCTCTCTCTCTCTCTCTCCCTCCTGCTGCAGATCCTGCATATGTTATTGAAGGCAGAGACAGCAGTTTTATCTAACACGGGAAAAGATGCCTGCATTAACACATCCAGACTGAACGATAATATCCAGTAGGCCTAATGTTGTGATCAACATCAGCTTTGGTGAAATTAAATAAGCAGTTTCTCAGTCTCGCAGCGACTGAGATGAACAAACCCTGCATGTTTTGAAAATAGAGTTAATGATTTGTATCATCATTTACTTTCCCTCATGGTACTTCAATACTATATGACTTTATCACTAAAGGTGTTGAGCTAGTTTTCCCCCTATGCAATGCGAGTGGATGATGGAGAAAATAAAGTGCCACAGGGTTTGTGCACTATAATCTTATAGCTTTATGTGACGATTTTAATTTGATATGATTCATTGAGAATTTAGCTTAACAGCCATTCACTTATATTGTATGGAAAAGAGAAGCTTGGACATTTTACTTGGAACTCATTTTCTTTTCAGTGGGATAAAGAGAGTCATACGGGTTTCCAAAGACATGAGTATGGAAGACTGTTCCTTTTTAGAATGAAAAATCGGTAATTGTGAGATCAAGTTTAAAATATATAAAATTGTCACATCAAGTAGTCAGGTTTAGGGTAAGCTTAAGGTTACTATATATAAGTGTTTTTCATTCTACTTTTTCAGATACCGAAACAATCAATAAATATGGCATTCTCTTTTAGGCATACAATATTATCAAGCCACTGAAGAAGAAACCACATCTTCCAAATTGCATTTAAAAAGGGAAAAGGAACAGATGCTCAGATATATTTGTTTGGTTTTCTTTTGTTTTAGCTTTTTTCTATTTCTTTTATTTCAATACATTTTAGAAACTTGCATTCACCAGAAGACAGAAATGTACTTTTTGGTGTACTGTCCTTTTAAACAATACAGTTAGAAGAACTGCAGGTGGAAAATGCATAAATTATGTTGTTGTTAAAATGTTAGTGTGCTAATTTATTTGCCAGTTGCGCATTAGAAAATTTTGATACATGCAAGTAGGAATCACAATGTCTGCTCAGTTTTACCTTCTTACTGTCTTAATGTGTCCAACAGTATTTGCATGTTTAATACAAGTATTCTTTTAAACGTGTGTGTGTGTGTGTTTAAGTTTATAGTGTGCGGAGAGAGATTCCCAGACAGAGGGAAGTGACTCAGCATGAGAGCTAAAGCGTTTGTCCCTGTGTTCTGGTTCTTGCAGGATTGCACCCATGGAGCGGCTGCTGCTGGTCCTGGCTCTGTTCTCCATGCCGTCCCACGCCATGCTGTGTCCCAAACGCTGCACCTGCCAGAACCTGCTGCCCTCCTACACCGTCCTGTGTGCCAAAACCGGCCTGCTCTTCGTCCCACCCAACATCGACCGGCAGACCGCCGAGCTGCGACTGATGGACAACTTCATCACCACCCTGCGCCACCGAGACTTCGCTAACATGAGCAGTCTTATACACCTCACGCTCTCCCGAAACACCATCAGCCAGATCCAACCGTACGCCTTCGCCGACCTGCAGGATCTGCACGCGCTACATCTCGACGCAAACCGGCTGACGATGCTGGACGACACACATTTACAGGGGCTGGTGAATCTACGGCACCTTATCCTCGCAAACAACCAGCTTCACAGCATCTCGAATGGAGCCTTTCAAGACTTCCTAGAAACTCTTGAAGATCTTGATCTTTCTTATAACAATCTGGTGGATTTGCCATGGGAAACTCTATCTATGCTATCCAGCGTTAACACTCTTAGTTTGGATCACAATCTCATCGACTTCGTGCCTGAAGGGATATTTTCAAATCTTCACAAGTTGGCTAGACTGGATATGACGTCCAACAAGCTGAAGAAGATCCCGCCGGATCCTCTCTTCCTACGCATCCCGGTCTACGCGAAAACAAAAGGCTCGCCGCTAACCGCGCTAGTGCTCAGTTTCGGCGGCAACCCGTTGCATTGTAATTGCGAGCTGGTTTGGCTTCGACGCCTGACGCGGGAGGACGATCTGGAGACGTGCGCGTCCCCGCGAGAGCTAGCGGGGAAATACTTCTGGACGATTCGCGAGGAGGAGTTTGTGTGCGAGCCGCCCATGATCACTCGGCACACGTCGAAGATGTTCGTGATGGAAGGTCAAGAGGTTAGTTTGAGATGCCGCTCCGTCGGAGACCCTGAGCCGACCGTCCACTGGGTGAGTCCTGACGGGAAGCTAATCGGTAACACCTCGCGCACCATGTGCTACGATAATGGCTCTCTGGATATCTTGACGGCTACGGTGAAAGACTCCGGCGTGTTCACATGCATCGCGTCCAACGCTGCCGGAGAGGCTACGGCTCCGGTGGAATTAGTCGTGAACCCTTCGCCACATTACGACCCCAAACTGGAGCCTGAACCGGGACCCTCGGACATGCCGACGTCCATAAAGTCCAACAGTAGTGGAAGTGGCGGCCAGTCTCGAGCTGATCAGCGGGTCAGTGTCTCAGAAATAACCTCAAGCTCAGTGATGATCCGCTGGCCTCCTCAAAACCACATCCCTGGAGTTCGCATGTACCAGATCCAGTACAACAGCTCCACCGACGACATCCTCATATACAGGTGAGCTTCGTCCCAGATTCTGTTCTCTATGATTTGCACCAGTGTTATTTTAGTCAGGGTTATTATAGTTAACTAAATTTAAAACTTTTAGTCTACACAATAGTTTTTGTCTGTTATGATACTCACTGTGTCAGATTATGTGCTTTTGACTCCTAAATTCTCAGTGTTGTGGACAAGAAACCGTCTCTAAGAACGTGCGTGAGGAAGGCGGATCTAGCGTCTAACTTATGGACACAAGAACGTAAATAGCTTTCTGTCCTATGTGATTTGCACCAGTGTTATTTCAGGGTACGTTTATACGACAACAGTATGCTTAAAACGGAGACGTTTTTTCCTTTGAGTTTTCAGCGTACAGACGAAACCATTGTCAAAACAATACCCATTCACACGGATCCGCAAAAAAGACTAAAACACTGTATTCTGCTGCCCTCGTCTTCAGAGTTTCCCGTTTTTATATGGAAACCAATTTCAAAAACGTGCACATTGAAACCCGTTTTCAAAAGATTGCTTTTTCAGGCACCCAAAACGATGTTGTCGTGTAAACGAATGGCCAAAACGCATAAAAAGTTGTACGTTTTTAGTTGAAAATTGTGTCGTGGAAACAGCGCCTTACTCAGGGTCATTGTAGTTAGCTAAACCTGAAATGTTTAGTCTACACCATTCTTTTGTTTGTTGTGATACTCACTGTGATTTTGACTCCTAAATTCTTGTTGTGTCATGGACATGTCAGAACAATCATCACTTGTCGTGTTTTACGACGTGTGTGATGTCATAGAAATGGCGCAGGTAGCGACTGACTTTTGGAAACAAGAACGTAAACAAAAGCGGCGTGATAGCTTAATGCTATGCCAGCACCAATACCATTGTCTCTTTCGTTTCGCCATGTTTGAAAGCTGTGTATGGAAGTGGTCAATGTCACAGATGTGACGATATTTTACACTGACGAATCGCCACGACACTCTACGTCAAACGGATCGTTCCAAAATCAGGCGGTTATTTTTGTCTGAACCCGGGATAAAAACATATTAAAAAATAATAATAATTGTTGCTTGAAATAAAAGATGTTTACTGAATTAAAATAAAACATAAAAAGATAGTTGCCAATGCAACTTTTTTTCATCTTGATGTAGTTTAACTTTCTGTACTAAAATAACTAAAACTAAAATAAAGAAAATTATATAAAAACGATTTAGACATTTTTTAAAAAAAACATTCACAACTAAAATTGAAATTAAAAACAGAAAATATAAAAAATGTCATATTCAAAATATCAGTAACAAATATAATAGTATCTCAATGATACATATACTATTATTGTACTATTATAGTTAAAATGTTTATATTTTCTGTTATTAACAAAATTGTTGTTAAAGTTTTAGTAATTGTTTTACATTTATTTCACTACTTAAACCAAATGAAAGAGCATCCTTAGCAACTAGCTGGAATAAAATGGGATTTTATGTCGATTAATGTTAGTTTAATGTCTAGTAGCAGCATTTTTTAAGCGTTTAGTTATAGTTAAGCATAATAACGCAGATTCACAGTGATTTTATCGGTGATTAGACAGCAGACAGCACTCATGTTAGTGTACTAAGAACGTGAGCGGCGTGTCTGAACATGTTAATGTTAAAATGCTTTTATTTTAATCGATGCGTCTACACTGGAGGCCGACAGACGCACTATTGATATTTTTTGATGCGCTTCTCCAGACACTTTATCATCCCCTGCTATAAGAAATAAAAGGATTTTACCAACATTAATTAAATGATTTACAGATATATGTGATAGATTTTTTTTTATTCAGAGCCTCTTCGCTCTGATCTACTCATTTAAATCAGCTTTTGCCTCTAATGTATTCCCAGTTGCAGGAAAATCAACATTACAATAATTATTGTAATATAATTCAGTTAAAAATAAAGTTGTGTACATAGTTATTCACCCGGGTCAAACATCAAGCTCACAGTTGGTTCTGCCTGTATAATCTTGCATTTTGAAAAGATTTATGGAAACATTGCAGTGTGACTTGGAGATTACAGCAGTTTAAGATTAAATCAATGTCAAGCCAAAAACATGCAGTTTCGCAAAGAAGATTGTTGATATGAAACTCATAAATGCGAGACGGTAGTAAAAAGAAATCTCTCGTTCTGTAACGCAATATTTGAGAGAGCTCCGTGGATGGACTATCTCTCCAAATGGGTTTTGAATCTGGGTAATTCTGCATTAGATAAACAAATCGATTCTGTCTTTGTTCAAAGGGAAAGGCTGGCATCTGAGATGGGGGTGTTAATGGCTTATGGCGCAATCCTATTCAGATAGTGGATGAAACATTGCAACTCCTCTGATGAATACAAATGGACCTCAATGATTGCCAGCCAACAAAGACACAACAATATCATGAATGCAATGTATGAAATACATCCATACTTTAGTTCTGTGCTAATCAAAGCTTCCTCCGACGGGAACGGCTGCTGTGGGTCTCCGCTCTACATGTCAGAAAAGCTCTTGATTTTCATTAGTGCGCTGACACAGATTGGCTTCCACGGTAATACTTTCAGCCTGATGCAATTCAAACCGAATTTTGCAAAGCAGGATCCGCAAACAGACGCATTGACACCCTTCAATAAATCACAGCGCTTGAGGTGCACTGAGGGAGACAATAATAACAGAATAACAATAGAAGCGCTTGCCCTCGTTTCTGATGCGCCGGAAAGATTACAATGAAGGCGTATTTGCATTGATGTCGAAATATGTCCCACATTGAAAAGCCAATCTTTCGCTTTGTGCTATATGAAGAGGATATGTTTTGGGTCGCATGTCGACAGTTGCATTAACGCTCCTTTTTAGCATTCAGCCATGACTCCTCACTGAAGGCGTCTGTAAGGGATGTAATTAACTCCTGCAATAATCCCTGTGGATAGATTAAGAGAGAAGAAAAGATACATACAGAAAGCAATTTGCTATTAATTATGGAAAAGGCAAGGGGAGTTCTTTGGTTTATAGAGCTGCAGAGTAATCTAAAAGTCTTTCAGAATCAATTAGGAGCGACTCCCCGTCCGACGGCGAGAGCACGATGGCGAGATGGTGGCCGAGGTGAGAATATAGGACAGGTTGACAGGTTGAAGTTGAAGCGATGCGTGTGTGTTAAAGAGTGTGCATGATGCCAGACGCAGACCTGGAGGAAGAGCGAGGTGTGTGTCAGACTTCAACATGCGTTCTCTTCTTGGACATGTTGCTCTACTGTGTGCATTTACACTGCAGGTCTTGATGGCCAAATCCGATTTTCTGACTATATCCGATTTTTTTGACATCATCTTTTAAAAATTTACACTATACACTGCTGAAACTACCAAATGTAGACGTTGTGACCCGGAAAATTAAGTAAAACAGAGTGAAATGCAATGGATGCAGATGCGAATAACAATACACGATTTTAGCCTGATTTTGGCACGATCCGTTTGACGTAGGGTGCCGTGGCGATTCGTAAACGACAATGGCGTCGGGACGGCATCATGTCGTATAGTGTGTCATAGTGGGCGAAACCTACGTCGCGTGTGCGATGCTTCATGACATCACGACAAAAAGACTAGCATGTTTAATTTTTTTAACGTCCGTCACATGTATGAGGTCGACCAATAGGAGCACAGAAGCTTTTCCGTACACAACGTTCAACAATGGCGAAACGAAAGAGAGACGACGGTGCTAGCGTTAAAACTAAAAGTAAATATATATAAGAAAACAATATTTTACTTCAAGTTCTCTTTGGAGGATTGACAGCCCAATCGAGCAATCCAGGAACGTGTTTTTTTTCTTTTTATTAGGGATGCACAATATATCGATATGGCGAAACGAAAGAGAGACGACGGTGCTAACGTTAAAACTAAAAGTAAAAATATATAAGAAAACAATATTTTACTTCAAGTTCTCTTTGGAGGATTGACAGCCCAATCGAGCAATCCAGGAACGTGTTTTTTTTTCTTTTTATTAGGGATGCACGATATATCGGCCAGCATATCGGTATCGGCCGATATATGTTAATTTTTAATGTTATCATTATCGGCCTTGTAAGAAAATGTGGCCGATATATTAAAGCCGATAAATAATGTATTATTCCCTTTGTCACAGTCTTCGTCTGCACCATCCTGTCTGCGTCATCTGCACTACACTTCCCAGAATCCTTTCGTCTGCACACCTGAACTCACTCCCTCATCAGCCTCCCGTTCAGCGTCCTGTTCATCTGTTTCACCTGTCTTCACCTCATTATGTTTGATTCTTGCTTGTATTTAGTTCTCCCTCTGTCAGCCTGTGTTTGTCGGTCAATGTTGAATGTTACCCTGCGTGGTCCTGTAACCTGTCTTCCGTCCTGAATTTAGATTAAATATTGTTGTATTGTCATCCTGACTCCTTGTCCTCTTCTGCCTGCACCCGCACCGTGACAGATTGACCGACCCCAAAAAAGGGAAAATATGGATTTAGCCGCTGTACAGCTTCTCCTCCTGGAGCAGGAGGATCAATCCCTCGAGGCCCACACACAGAGGTATTTGGATTTGGTACCGCATGTTCACTATGATGTTACCAGCCTCTGTGTGTTCTTCCGGGCAGGCCTAAATGCTGAAACCCAGGCACGCCTGCCCGGAGACGGGCCTCGAGGGGACTTTGCGGCCTATGTGGAGTGGGTGCTGGTGTCATGTGGATCTCCCTTTACCATGTATGACGTCACCAGCCCCACTCCATCACTCGAATGCTCTCCAGAGACTGAATGCTCTTCACCGCTGGTTCCGTCCAGCTCTCCAGAGTCTGAATGCTCTTCACCGCTGGTTCCGTCCAGCTCTCCAGAGTCTGAATGCTCTTCACCGCTGGTTCCGTCCAGCTCTCCAGAGTCTGAATGCTCTTCACCGCTGGTTCCGTCCAGCTCTCCAGAGACTGTATGCTCTTCACTGCTGGTTCCGTCCAGCTCTCCAGAGACTGTATGCTCTTCACTGCTGGTTCCGTCCAGCTCTCCAGAGACTGTATGCTCTTCACTGCTGGTTCCGTCCAGCTCTCCAGAGACTGTATGCTCTTCACTGCTGGTTCCGTCCAGCTCTCCAGAGACTGTATGCTCTTCACTGCTGGTTCCGTCCAGCCCTCCAGAGACTGTATGCTCTTCACTGCTGGTTCCGTCCAGCTCTCCAGAGACTGTATGCTCTTCACTGCTGGTTCCGTCCAGCTCTCCAGAGACTGTATGCTCTTCACTGCTGGTTCCGTCCAGCTCTCCAGAGACTGTATGCTCTTCACTGCTGGTTCCGTCCAGCCCTCCAGAGACTGTATGCTCTTCACTGCTGGTTCCGTCCAGCTCTCCAGAGACTGTATGCTCTTCTCTGCTGGTTCCGTCCAGCCCTCCAGAGACTGTATGCTCTTCACTGCTGGTTCCGTTCAGCTCTCCAGAGACCGTCCAGCCAGCGCCAGAGACCGTCCAGCCAGCGCCAGTGACCGTCCAGCCTGCCCCAGTGACCGTCCAGCCAGCGCCAGTGACCGTCCAGCCAGCGCCAGAGACCGACCAGCCAGCGCCAGAGACCGTCCAGCCAGCGCCAGAGACCGTCCAGCCAGCGCCAGAGACCGTCCAGCCTGCCCCAGTGACCGTCCAGCCAGCGCCAGAGACCGTCCAGCCAGCGCCAGAGACCGTCCAGCCAGCGCCAGAGACCGTCCAGCCAGAGCCAGAGACCGTCCAGCCAGAGCCCGAGACCGTCCAGCCAGAGCCCGAGACCGTCCAGCCAGAGCCCGAGACCGTCCAGCCAGAGTCGGAGACCAGGATCCCGCCCAGCCTCCCTCTCCCGCCTCCTCTCATCTGTCCCCGTTCTTCTCTCCTGCCCTTCAGCTCCCCTAAACCAGCCTGGTCCTTGGATCCCCGGTCTTCGCCTCACACCTCCTCCTCAGAGACACTTCCTCGGCCCCCGGTCCCATCGGCTCCCTCGTGGCTGCTACCTCCCTCAGCTCCTCCATGGCCCCTCAGTCCACCAGCTCGTCCAGGCTCCCTCGCACCTCTGGATTCCCTTTGGTCCCTCATCACCCGTCCTTCACCTCTGGACTTCCATTTGTTTGCTTCGCCCCGTCATTTCACCCCCCCGCTTCAGTTGGATTCTTCACTCCCTCCAGTCACCCATCGGCCCTCACTCCCTCTGTCCTCACCGTGTCCCTCTGTACCCCTGTCAGCACTTCAGTCACCAGAGCCTGCGGTGTCCCCATGTTCCCACGGTCCCTCATCAGTTCCTCACGTCGTCTGTCCCTCAGCTGCACCCTGGTCTCCTCTCCCATCTGCTCCGCCCCTGTCAGTCGGCCCCCTGGTGTTGTCAGCCCCACTACCATCGGCTCCACCAGGGGTCCTCCCTTCATCTGCTCCGCCCTGGTCTCGCCCTCAGCCTGCTCCGCCCTGGTCTCGCCCTCAGCTTGCTCCGCCCTGGGGACGCCCTCAGCCTGCTCCGCCCTGGGGACGCCCTCAGCCTGCTCCGCCCTGGCCACACCCTCAGCCTGCTCCGCCCTGGCCACGCCCTCAGCCTGCTCCGCCCTGGCCACGCCCTCAGCCTGCTCCGCCCTGGCCACGCCCTCAGCCTGCTCCGCCCTGGCCACGCCCTCTGCCTGCTCCGCCCTGGCCACACCCCGCGCAGCCCCCAGTTCGTCCCCCTCCTTCTCTGTTCTGCGGCGTGAGGTCACGCCTCCCGGGAGGGGGGAGTTCTGTCACAGTCTTCGTCTGCACCATCCTGTCTGCGTCATCTGCACTACACTTCCCAGAATCCTTTCGTCTGCACACCTGAACTCACTCCCTCATCAGCCTCCCGTTCAGCGTCCTGTTCATCTGTTTCACCTGTCTTCACCTCATTATGTTTGATTCTTGCTTGTATTTAGTTCTCCCTCTGTCAGCCTGTGTTTGTCGGTCAATGTTGAATGTTACCCTGCGTGGTCCTGTAACCTGTCTTCCGTCCTGAATTTAGATTAAATATTGTTGTATTGTCATCCTGACTCCTTGTCCTCTTCTGCCTGCACCCGCACCGTGACACCCTTCAGCTGAGACACTTGTTGAGCACTGTTTATGATTTTGATTTTCTTGAAATATTTTTGAAATCTCTTTAAAAAGAGATTTTTAAAAATTAAAATCTGGTTCGGTA